AGGGTGCTACAATGCTCCTGGGGTAGATTTGGGTGGACGAGGGTGCTACAATGCCCGTGGGTAGATTTGGGTGGACGAGGGTGCTACAATGCCCGTGGGTAGATTTGGGTGGACGAGGGTGCTACAATGCCCGTGGGTAGATTTGGGTGGACGAGGGTGCTACAATGCCCGTGGGTAGGTTTGGGTGGACGAGGGTGCTACAATGCCCGTGGGTAGGTTTGAGTGGACGAGGGTGCTACAATGCCCGGGGGTAGATTTGGGTGGACGAGGGTGCTACAATGCCCGGGTGTAGATTTGGGTGGACGAGGGTGGTGCTACCATGCCCGTGGGTAGATTTGGGTGGACGAGGGTGCTACATAGCCCGTGGGTAGATTTGGGTGGACGAGGGTGCTACATAGCCCGTGGGTAGATTTGGGTGGACGAGGGTGCTACAGTGCCCGGGGGTAGGTTTGGGTAGACGAATGGTTCTACAATGCCCGGGGGTAGGTTTGGATGGACGAACATTCTACAATGCCCGTGGGTAGATATAGTTGAAAAAAAACTTTCCACAGTGTATATGAGCCGATAATGAGGACCTCCTTCTCAGCAGTTACATGTTAACACAACTCACATTGTTTACATTTCATACAGAGTTTCTTCAAGGCATCTCTTCGGGGATGCTCTGCACCCCCTACCCCCCCCCCCCCCATCCCCAATAAAATGTCTATCGCCCCCCCCCCCCTCCCCCAACGAAATTTCTGAATTTATACAGAAAATATATACTTTAAAAGTGCCCCCCCCCCCCGTAGTCGTCGTCGTCCCCGGAATTTGGTTCCCCCTGGAGAAAAAAGTCTGGAAGAAACACTCATTTCATACAGCCTGCTGTGTAACATTCTTTACAACACTCACCATTTCTTTCTTTTATTGATTAAATATTCAAAGCGTAACAAAGCAACATTTTGCAAAATTCCTTCTAACTTATCAATGCAGCATTATACATTTATTTTAGATTTTATAAAATCCCAACAACCTTACAGACTGAACGAGGTACTGAAACCATGTGTGTTTCGCTCACCGAATTACTTCATATAATTTTTACTGCCTTTTGTTTAAACAAGCGTAACATAATTTTATTTTATTAAAGTAAGACACAGGAAAAAAAATGGGGCTGAAAATCCCCCATGCTATCCTGGTCACTAATAACGCTATGGCACGCGATTTTCCCATCACCAGCTCAATGTGACAAGCGAATACTCCGTGTTAGGCGTGCTGGTGTGTAATTGTGTACACGCGATGTACACACAGGCTGAACGTGACGGCCATATACTACACACAAGGAGAGCAAGTGTGTACTGATTGAAACAAATCACCAACCACATTCTAACCACCCTCCATCATAACAATCAGACATACCCTCCGACCCCCTTCGTTTCTTAACCCCCCCCCCCCCCGCCCCATACTAGCCTTTTCTCACCCCCCCCCACCACACACACACACACGCACACTCCCCGCCCTTTCACTTTATCAAAACTGACAAAAAACCCTCGACTGTGTATTTTCGACATAACCATAGACTCATAAAACTCTACCACAATTCCACCAACCCCCCCCCCCTCTCTACACACACATACACCAAAACCCTCCACCCCACATAGAATTCCACCTCCGCCCTTGCGTCTAGCATTTACTCACACAAAACGACACACTTATGCGTGCACGATAATGCAGGGTCCTATTAATTAATCAGCAGCATTAGCAGCGTATATCCGTGTTAGCTTAGACTTATTTTAAGAAGAAAAAATCAAATGCGCAGCTTCAAATGCGCAGCACATTATACAGAAGAGAAAAAAAATCAAGTTAAAATAATTGCACAAGTGATCTAAACTAGCCTCAAAACTGTTGCGAAGTAGCCCTGTGTAATTAGAAACATGTCTCACGTTTAGGGTATTCCCGTTCAAGAAGGCGGGTGGGAAGGGGAGGCGGGAGAACAGTGAGGAAAGCGGGAGAGAGAGAGTAGGGGGGAAAGCAGGCCAAGGGAGCTAAATCAATTTTAAAACAATGTCTAGGATCAATAATTAAGTGGTGGCCGGCCTTTGAAAGGAAAAGAATGAAGGAAGGAGTTTAAAAAAAAACAACATGGCGGAAATTAGCGTTAGCAGACGAGAGAAGACGAGAGTGACAGACGACGGGTGAGGCAGTACGAACGGGAGTTGGGGGGGGGGGGGGGGGGGTAGTGAGAGGGGAGGTAATGAGAGGGGGGAGGTAATGATAGATATTTATATAAGTAGCGGCTGTAGGGTGTTAGCCCCGATTGTGGAGGTGTACGGGTGGGTTTAAAGGACGTGGACAAGGTTTGGCTTAAGGAGGGGGAGGGGGGGGGGGTAAATAATGTTAGTGTTTACGTTCACTTTTTGCACTGAACGTTTGTCTCGAAAATGGTGGGTTTTTTTTTTTTTTTTTTTTACATAGCATGTGAGAACTTAACACTTTACTGTCAGTGTTGTGTCCTTGAGTTTGTCTCTACTGGGTTTTTTTTACATGGAGGTTTAGTCTCTACTTGAGCACAGTAGAAAGCGAGTATATATATATATATATATATATATATATATATATATATATATATATATATATATATATATATATATATATATATATATATATATGAGAGAGAGAGTTTGTTGTCTGTGTGTCTAGGTCAGTGTGTTTGTATCTGTGTGTGTCTGTGTATCTGCTTTTGGTGGTGAGTGTGTCTGTGGACTGTGTGTCTGTTTATGTGTGTCTATGTCTGTCTGTGTGTGTGTGTGTGTGTCTACGCGAGTCACTGTGTCTGTGTTTTTCTGCGTTTGTGTCTGTTCGTGTGTTACTTTCCCATAATTATTTTTATATTGGTATAATACAATCTAGGTAAAAAAAACAGTTAAACCAGTCCATAAACCTAAAGGCAGTTTAACTAGTACATAAAGCTAACTAGCAGTCAATTTTCTCACCTGTGTGAAATTAAAGAATACAGCTTAGAATGAGATTTTAATATTTTTTTTCTACCCAGTTTGGCGCCCCCTTCGTTAGACGCCTTGGGCAGCTGCCCCACCCTCCACCCCATATTTACGCCTTTTCCCGAAACCCCTACGCTTCTAACAAACCTAAAAAATTTTCATTCTGATCCAAAATATACATAGTCCTCCTGAAACAATAAATTTTACAGTTTTAATAAAAGGGTTTATAAATTGTATAGACCGGACCACGAACCCCCCTCCAACCCACACCCCCCTCCCGGGCTATAGTGCTGACGTATATGACTTCCTACATGCACAGAGAACTTATACCTGTTCCCTTTTGCCTTAATCTTTGCCTAAGTAGGCCTATTTACTCATAGTATCAAGTTACGGTTCAATGAACACAACACACACGTCGATATTAAATTAACTTTGTTATCGGTTTTAGTAAAGTGTTTAGTGGGAGTGTGGTGTTTTGTTATGCAAATTAGTTGTTATGGTATACTAATTAGCTTGATCGTGGTATTATGATATGTTAATTTTGCTGGAACATGTTGTTTTCGTATGCAAATTGACTAAACCACGTGTTATACGTGACGATATTTTTCTTCCTTTGATTAAACCATGTGTAAAAAAAATACCAGGTATTTAGTTAGCCTTACCCCTCCCATTGGTAAGTCAATAGAAGGTAACCCAATCCCTTGTGGTAAACAAAGTCTACTTTAATCTTAACCTAAACACTGTGTTTTGTTCTAGCCAAACCTATTTCAACATAGAAGAAAACAAAGTTATGTCACTGTTTTAGACCTTGGCAGTTGGTAGGGAAGATGAAGTAGAGTTCCCCTGTTCTTGTATTTTAACAATGTGTTAGTTTTTTGCATAGCCACATTTGATTTCTCTAACGTGTGCTGGGAAACCATTAAAGCTGGGTGAACTCAGGGACTTCTTACCAACTTGAGTGACACCCAAATCGTGGATAAAATTCCCGGATATAATTGTGGACACAAATCGTGGATACAAAACGTGGATACCAATCTTGAATATACTTCGTGGATACAAATCTTGTATATAATTCGTGGATACAAATCATGGATAAAAATCATGGATATATTTTTTGGATACAAATGTTGGATATAATCCGTGGATACTAATCGTAGAAACAAATCGTTTATATAATTCGTGGATACATATGTGGATACTAATTGTGGATATACATTTTGGATACTAATATTGGATATATATCACATGGATACAAATCTTGGAAATGAATTTGGATACAAACAGTGGATAAAATTCATGGATACAAGTCTTGGATACTATTCGTGAATAGAATTTTTTATATAATTCCTGGATATTATTCGAGAACACAAATCTTGGATAAAATTCGTAGTTATAAATATGGATACAATGTGTGGATATTAATTTGAATACAATTCGTGGATATAAATTTGAATACAAATCTTGGATACTATTCGTGGATATACATCGTGGATACAAACCTAACTCACAGCATTGATAGTTTTATATATTTTGTGTTTTTTGTTGAGTGCTGAGCCAAGGTATATAACTGATAAATATACCTCTAGTGAATAAGGCGTTAGGAGTTGTTTCCCTTAGGTTTAGTTTTGGCAACAAAAAATCCCGGGTACTGTTAGGTTTTGTTTTTTTTTTAAACTAAGTGTGATAGAGCAAGGGTGTATTGTCTTAAAATCGAATGCCGTCCGCGTATGCCATAGGGTTAGTTTTTAAGTTTGAGTTAAATCAATTTTCAAGGTAGCTATTGCGTGTGAGGTTTTTTTCCCCAAAAAGCGTCTATGTATGGTCTTTTACAATCTCGAATAATTTATCCAAGTCAGAAAAACTAAATCATATTTTAAGTTGATGTTTTATTTGTGTTGCTTTTTTATTATTCAAAGCAGACGTTTCTTTACTAATATTGATTTTGATTTCAGCATAAATATAATACTGTATATTGGTATGACGGTACGGCTATCCAAATTGATACTCAACCAATCTCTCCATCCTCAGGGGGCTCCCGTCTCCGGCAAAAAGCCCGCAACATGATCGGGGCCACGGGGAGCCGCCACATCAACCAGCGGCGCCGGGCCAGCCTGGCATCCGGTACCCCCCTGCCCCTGTCCCTAGTCCACAACCTGGAGCAGGTGGCCGAGGGGGACGAGAGCAGGATGGGGGCGGTGGCCCGCAGGCGAGTCGTGGATACATCCGACCTGCGCACGTGCGCTATACTCCAGTCCAGGCTGAAGGAGCTGAAGACGTATCCGGAGTGAGTACTCATCTACTTGCTTGTTGTTGTTGTTGTGGTTTTCTTCTCTGTACCTAAGTTCTTAAGTTTATTTGATCGTGTTCAGAGTTTCTTTCAGGCATCTCTCTGCCCCCCCCCCCTGCCCACCCCACTCCCCAGCGGATTATTTCCGACTCCACACCCCCCCCCCCCTCCCACATCCTCTTGAAGTGAAAGAAAAACATAATTCATTAAGAAAATATATCCTTTAATATGCTACCATCCGACCCTGTCCATAATTTTTAAGTGACTTCCGTGCAAATTCTTTTAACCCTTCTTCTTCCCCCCTCCCAACCCCACACCCACAGCAGTAATATGACTAAAAGTAAACCCGGGCCATCTTTCCTTACTTAAAGTAACCGGGAAAATAATTTTGTGGGTACCCAGATCTAATATTACTTAGGATATGCGGGGGTAAATTTGGCTTTGGGTACCCATATGAGATGTAGTATTGTGTTGGTTTCATGAATGTAATATTATCTGGATATATCAGTGTAGTCTGTGAAAGACTTGGCACTCTACATTTAGTATATATATATATATATATATATATATATATATATATATATATATATATATATATATATATATATATATATATATATATATATGTATATATATATATATATATATATATATATAACTTTATAACGTATATGTCGACATATCGATATCAAATTTATCTCATTTTAAAAATGTCTTCCACTCACCATCCCTAACTTATTCTAATCGTCCCACAAATACCAAAGCAATGCAATCGACACACACATACACACACACACACACATACACACATCAATCATGCCCTTTATCCCATTTCTCACAAACGAAAACATAAAACTTACTTGTTATAAAGAGCAGGCAACTTTGCAATGCTTGTGAACACTAAGTATATATTCGATAACTTCCCTTTCATTGAATTTCGGCTGTCGCTACATCCTTATTTTGAACTGGATGGGAAATGCTATAAATCTATTCAATTAACCAGCAAATAATTTGGAATACCGGTAGAAATCGTTGCATCCATACAGGTCTTACGTCGTGTAATAACTTACCTATCCCGATTTTTACCCCCTGCATAGAAGATGAAACCTACCATAGCGCCCTAATTAAGATTAGCAGCCAAATCGTTATTTGCCCCTCAAATTAACATCACAATATTAACAGGCTAAAGCATCCATTACTTTAGCTTCTTCATATTACCAAAACTAAAACCAAAACATTAGCACTCCAAACATTTGCAGGATAAAATCAGCACCCGAAATTAACCCCAACAACATCACTGTTGTGACCTTCTTTTGTTGAACTTCACAAAATCTACGCAATTAAAGTCGTTTATTCAGATTATTTCTATTCACAAATTAACGTACCGTATGCTAGTCGCTATCAGTCCTAACATACTCAAATACTTTGATCTTTTCCCTTGATTTCAAAGGGTCCAAAATTCTTAAATGTAAACAATAGGCTACTGTTAGATCAAGTAGTGATTTCCCATCTTGAAATCTTAAAAAAAAATGTAGCCGGTCATTGATCAAATGTTTCTGTACATATTTTAGAGCAAAATAATTATTAATTAATCCAAAATATATCAAGAATGGACACTATATTACGGAAAAAAAATATATGATTAGCTGTGTTGAATATATAAATAAAAAAATCATTTTAGTGTATATTGTATTATTACTTTTATTCTTGAGCAAAAATTCATGAATGTTTGTTGCTTCCCTTAGATGCTCAAAATTTTGAAATGGGAAACAACTAATACAAAGAAATATTAAGTGTAAATCGATTTAATTTGCAACAACCAGCCATCGGTACCCGTTACACGTGAATTATAGGCCTGTGTATTTTAATGATATAGCACTAATGATTAGCACCCAAACATTAGCACCCTAACATTAGCACTCTAACATTAGCACTCTAACATTAGCACCTTAACATTAGCACTCTAACATTAGCACCCTAAAATTAGCACCCTAACATTAGCACCCTAACATTAGCACCCTAACATTAGCACCCTAACATTAGCACTCTAACATTAGCACCCTAACATTAGCACCCTAACTTTAGCACCCTAACTTTAGCACCCTAACTTTAGCACCCTAACTTTAGCACCCTAAAAGCACCATAACATTAGCACCCTGAAATTACTACCATATATATCATATATTTATTTCTTTTCGAATACTTGACGTTTTTAACTATACTTCACAGACAATTTTCAAGATCTAAAAAAATCTTTATCATACTTAAGAGTACAAAACTTTTTTTTTTAATTTCCATACCATTAAAAAAAATTATTTTCTCTCAAATTTAATTAGACTTTTATTCTCATTCTTCCAGAATTCTCTTTTTTTCTGAAATTAGCTGTTTCAGAAATTCATCACAAAGTCATCCAGTGTCGGATATAGCCTTCAAATGACTGCCACTAGTTCATCACATTTTTTTTTCCATTTAAAAAAAAAGTGATTTTATCTCCAACAAAGGGATATAATTGTGTTGACATTTTCACGTGTTGTTTCCCCTGAATTAGACCAATGTGTTAGGGTCTGGTTATGGGGCTGGGGGGGGGGGGGGGGGGGAGGGGGAGGAAATCGATAGCCACAACCAGCGGGTTTGGTTACAAACGTCTAGCTGGAGGCTGGTGTGTTTGTCGGTTTGTGGGTTTGTGGGTCTGTGTGTTTGTCGGTCTGTGTGTTTGTCGGTCTGTGTGTTTGTGGGTTTGGTGGACGGCTGGTAGTGTTTGTAGGTTTGTTTTGTTTAGGTGTGTTTGTATGTGTTTGTATGTTTGCCTGGAGGTGTGATTGAGTGTGCTTGTAGGTTTGTTTTGGATGCACTGGTTGCGTTTGTAGTTATGTGTTTATGTGTGTATTTTGCATGTGTGTGTGTGCTTGTTTTCATGTGTGTTTGAAATTGTGTTTACAGGTTTGTATACATGTGTGGTAGTATGGTATGTTTGTTTCAATGTGTAGTGGCAGATTTGTTTAGGTGTGTGTTTGCATGTGTTTGTAGGTTTTATTTGTATGTTTGTTTGGATATGCATTTTCGTGTGTTTGGTGGTTTGTTTGGAGGCATGTTTATGAGGATGTTTTTGTAGGTGTTTAGAGTTTGTTTGTGTTTATGATTGTGTTTGTTTGCACATTGTTTGTGTTTGTTTGTTTGTTTGAAGGCACAGACGGTGATTTTTGTAAATATTTGTGTACGTGTGTTTTGGGAAATATTGATTTCGTATTCACAAGCGTTGCAGAATGTGCGTTTGAATGCGTTGTTCATTTTGTGTTTGTATATGCTTTCATGTGTATGGTTGTATGAGTGTTTTATATGCGTGTATATGTGTTTCATATATGTTTGTATATGTGTTTTATATGCGTGTATATGTGTTTCATATGTATGTTTGTATATATGTTTTATATGCCTGTACATGTTTTTTATATGTGTGTTTATATGTGTTTCATATGCGTGTATATGTGTTTCATATGTGTCTATGTATATGTATTTTTAATGCATATATATATATTATGTATTTCATATGTGTGTTTGCACGTGTGGTTTGTGATATGAACAAGGGGGTGGAGAGTAGAGGCAGTGGAAGATCACTCACAAATCACACATACAGCACCCATATCTAACACTAAATTACACACAATTGATCTAACAGCTAAAAATAAAACTGCTGAATCGTCAATGTTTTTCTATACAACCCACCCAAAGCCTACACTACAAGACTGACCAACCAGAGACCATAATATACCTGATACTTTTGTTTACATTTTAATTTACTCGACATTTGAGTTTTGTTTTTGTTTTTTTTTATTAAGGAAAAAAAATGTTCTGTATAAAATGTCACTGGTGATGTGTTTCGCGGGTGTTTGCAAATACAAGATGTATTCTCCTGGTCACTCGAATATTGAGGGTGGTGCCTCCTCGTGTATTGGGGTGTTTCTCATGTATGGGGGGGGGGCTCTCATGTATTGGGGGGGGGGGGGGGGAACATCCTCATGTATTGGGGGGGGAGACCTACTCGTGTACTGGGGGGGGGGGGGTTCTCATGTATTGAGGGGGAAACCTCCTCGTGTATTTGGTGGGGAACCTTCTCGTGTACTGGGGGGGGGTTCTCATGTATTGGGGGGGGGGGGGGGAACCTCCTCATGTATTGGGGGGAGACCTACTCGTGTACTGGGGGGGGGGGGGTTCTCATGTATTGAGGGGGGGTACCTCCTCATGTATTGGGGGGGGAGACATACTCGTGTAATGAGGGGGGGGGTTCTCATGTATTGGGGGGGAACCTCCTCATGTATTGGGGGGGACACCACCTCCCACTCTCTCCTCCACCCATATTTGACCCACAGAAAGAAACGTATACTTGTATATTTGTTCTCTAACCAGTTAACACATATAGCCCCTTACCCCTATCATCCCCCACTCTCCCTTCCCTGATGTCGTAATTCACTTGATTGATTCGCTCTATAACACAATCAGATACTAAACCTCAGTCCTCTTCTTTCTTTACCCCCGGGGGTTGTGTTACCCGACCCCCATCTAGCCATTCCTTCTACCCCACCCCGCTACTTTTTAAACCGTCCATGAGATGTATGAAGAATATCAGGAGAGCGGTATCGTGTTTTGCCGTCATGAACTTACTGACGTCATTCTAAGCCATAAATAGCACTGCTTGTGTGTGTGTGAACGTGGTGTGTGAAAGTGCACGTCGGCTGGTGTGTATTTGTGTGTGTTTGTAAGCATGTGTTTGTGCCTGGGTGTGCGTGTGTGTGTGTGACTGTGTGTGTCCTTGTGTGTGTCTGTGTGTGCGTGTGTTTGTCTGTGTGTATCTGTTTGCGTGTGTGTGTCTGTGTGTGTCTGTGTATGTGCTTGTGTGTCTGTGTGTGTGTCTGCGTGTGTATGTCTGTGTGTGTCTGCGTGTGTGTGTGTCTGTGTGTGTGTCTGTGTGTGTGTGTCTGTCTGTCTGTGTCTGTGTGTGTGTCTCTT